ACACACACACACACACACACACACACACACACACACACACACACAAGCTAGCTACCAAAAGATAAAACTTACTCAAGCAGGGAGGAGTGTGTCCACGTGCAATCAAAGAGCTGCTTCTCTATAACCCTGTCTGGTCTACAGAAACATCCTTAGAAGTCATCCATCTTGCAGAAAAGCACAGCTTTGGGTTAAAGAAGAAGCAAATCTAGGGGGCTCTCAGATTTACACAACATTCTACTTCCCTTTCTCCTAGAAGGTTCAAACACCTCACATGACCCCTAAAACTAACACACACACACACACACACACACACACACACACACTCGAACACACACACATTTGTCAAAGGACTAAGACAGTTCTGTACATTAGCAAGTAGCAAGTGTGTTGCTAGAGAAACAGACCCTCATGGGTTGGACAAGAGGCAATTTGTATTAGTCAGGATTCTTCTGAGGAATAGAATGAACATGGATGCAGCAGAACCTAGACGCCTGATTAGAGGCTTTAGAGTCCAATAGTCTTCAGGCTCAAGAGCCAGAAAGCCAAGCACTGCTCAATTGTTGGAGCAGCTGGAAGCACCCAGAATAAGAAGGACCAGTGATGCAGAATGAAGGGTTGGAAGCCTCCTGGAGGATGCTGGTGGCAGTCCCCACTGGGGATGGACTAACCTGGTATCTGATGTCCAATGATCAAGGCCAGTGGCAAGAAACACCGCTCAGGAAGAGCAGCTCCCACCTGTGACAGTCCATTGCAATCACCAGCTTAACACAATCGTGAATCTTATGGAGAAAGAATTTCAGTAACAGTTGTCTAGATCAAGTTGGCCTGTTTTCATCTCTACGGGGGATGGTCTTGATTGAGTTGATTGAGGTGGGAAGACCCGGGCCACTGTGGGTGGCACCATTCCCTCTGCAGGGGATCCCTTTCTGTTGAAGAGTGAAGAAAGTGAGCTAAGTACAAGCATGAACGTATTCTTCCTCTCTCTGCTCTTGACTGTGGATAAGCCTAGCTGCTTTAAGTTCAAGCCACTTTAAGTTTCCTGTAGTTTTGGACACTAACCTGGAAGTGTAAGCTAAAGTGAACGCTTTATCTCACACGTAGGTTTTCTGTTTGTTTGTTGCTTGTTTTTTCCAGGGTTTTTATCGCAGCAGCACAGAACAGCACTAAGAAAGCACCTGCACAGGTTACCCTTCTCCCTCTTCGCCTTTCCACTTTGACCCCAGCCTATGAATGGAGACACCTGCACTCAAGGTGAGTCTTCTCTTCTTGGCTCAGTGGTCCACGTACCAGTCTCTGAAAATCCCATTAGACAAACCTGGACACGTGACAAAATTCCAGGCACCTCTCAGTCAATTCAGGTTGACAGTGGGGACCAACCAGCACACAACTGAAGAGTAAGCCGGAGAGGTTGGGTCCTGTGAGAAAATGACGACTAGATAGGGGAGGAAGGGCACAGGAGAGAGCAACGCGAGATCAACACGTCCGACAAGTCTCTCCTGCCACGCTTTCCATGTTTGTTCTAATATATCTATTATATTTTCTTTAAGGACCGTGTCCTAGTTGCTGTGAAAAGACACCATGACCACAGCAACTCTTCTAAAGAAAACCACTTAATTAGGGCTGGGTTACAGTTTAGAGGTTTGCTCCACTATCACCCATGACGGCAAGCACGCAGGCCGACAGTGCTGGGAAGGAGCTGAGGAGTTCCACATCCAGAGCTGCAGGCAGCAGGAGTGAGCTGAGACACACTTTCACCAACTGGCCACACCTACTCCAACAAGGCCACGCCTTCTGACAGTGCCATTCCCTAGGTGCCCATGGGGCCAATTATGCTCAAACTGCCACAGACAGTAACTATTTTTACCTATTGTGTTCATCTTTGTGTTTTAAACTTCCTTTTTCATCACCTCTATAATTGAAGAGTGTTTCTGATTTCAAAATCATTAAAAAATATATATGTATGTATACGTTTGCGCACTGCACAAGACGCCTGCTGAGCCTAGGAAAGGCTGCAAGCTCTTCTGGTGCTGAGGCTCTCACATGTGAGCGCAAGGAACTGAGCTTGGGGGTACTCCGCAGGAGCAGGGTTCTCTCCTAGCTAATGAGCCATCTGTTCAGTCTCTCAGAATCAATTTTAACCATTGTCTTTTATTACACATGATAAATTTTATTTTAGAGACCCAAGTACCCACTTTCTGGCATTCACTTTAAATCTCAGCCCATGTGTATCTAATTTAAAATGTACACACGTATTTATTTTGGGGGCTCTGGTGGCACGGCATGCATGCGGGGGTCAGGGGACCGCTTACTGGAGTCAGCTCTCTGTCCCCGCTCTGTGGATCCTGGGATCCAAACTTGGATTGTCAAGCTCGGAAGCACATGCCTTCACCTGCTGGGCCGGCTCCTCAGCATCCCACAGGCTTGTTTAAAAGAGGAAACTTTCTACGGCATCCAGGCACTACTAATTCCAGTGTAATGGCTTAGGGAGAAGGAAGGTCAGAGGAGACAGAAAAAATAAATAAATAAAATAAACAGGGCCACGGGCTTTTTCAGACTCACCAAGATCACAAGTCACGCAGCAAACAGCAGCCAATTCAATGAATTACCCCATTCAGTGTCACAAGCCTGGGTCAGGCTGGTCAGAATGGAAACTCTCCAGGTGCCTCCTGTACCGAGCAGAGTGCCAAAGTCCAGCGCTCTGTTTGCTCTCATCAGAGGCATTTTCACCCAACAGCTGGTTTGCAGGTCTCCTTGAGACTGGAAATCCCAGCCCCCGCCCCTGCTGCCCCTGCTTCACTTTGGGAAGTCTTTAGGACAGAGGAGGTAGATCCTCCTCCAGGCACCCTGTAAACATGTTGTCACAGCCCCAAATGCCCCCACTGTGGCTTCAGTGTCCTTTACTCCCCCCAAGACATGTGTGCGCGTGTGCACATGCACGCACGCACACACACACACACACACACACACATACACACACACACCGTGAAGAAACAACCAAGGGGCTGGAAGTGTTGCTCAGTGTAGAGCGCTTGCTTAGCCTGCATGAAGCCCTGGGTTCGGTCTCCAGCGTAAACCACATGGGACATCTGAAGACAGCCTGTGAGACTCTGTCTCCACAGGAAACTAAGAGTGAAATCCCTCCTATGTCTTGATACCCAGGAAGGAGGGAACATTAGATTTCCTTAAATGGGGCAAAGAATTGGATTCTCTACTCAGGAAAGAAGAACCGGGACATATGTCACCCATGGACTGGACATCCTCTGTTGATGGTCAGTGTGACAGACACTTTAGATGTACCTGTGAGGGGTTGTCTAGTTAAGGCTAGGCTCTGAGGACATCTGTGAGAGACTGTCTTTTTAAATATGTGTATATATGTATATGTATATATATATACATAATATATATAATAATATATAATTATATATATATAAAATTAACTGGTTTTTCATACTTCACACTTTCATATTTCATACTTTCATACAGTGTATTTTGATCATAATCACTTACCCTCCTCCCCGGATCTCCTCCTAGACTCATCCTCACTCCCTCCCAATTTCATGTCCTTTAGGGGATTATTTATGATATTAATTAATATGAGAAAAATCAGTCTCCATTGGAAAAGGTGGCCTCATCCTCTGGACAGAGGACCTTGGCTTTGTCGACAGAAAACAAGACCTGAGTGGTGGCGTGCCTGCACTCACCGCTCTCAGTTCCTGGTTGGGAGAGGCTACGGTAGGCTGCTGCGTGCACCTGCTAGCTTGGCATCCCCAGGCTGGACTGTACCCCTCCACTGTGAGCTAAGGTAAACCTTTGTTCTCTTAAGCTGTTTTTCCAAGGGTGTTCTGTCACAGCAACAGGAAAGTAGCCAAGTCACGCTCCACCTTGCCAACACAAAGGAGCCAGAGGGGTTAGCCCTCAAGAGTTTCCTTCCAATCGCTAAGCCAGTGAAACAGAAGCATCTGACTTTACATTTGAATTCTTAAGATACCAATATGAATTCCGGCTGGAAAACTAGGAAATACAACCCTTCCCCTAAAGGGAGTTGACTCAGAACCTTGGCCCATTCTTCATACACTGTCCATACAACTCCAGGCAACACAAAACAAATCAAAGATTAAAACACTCACTCCAGCAACACAGAAGTTTGATCTTGCAAATGATGAAGCATTCCTGTATGTTATTAAATAGCACCTTTCATGTAAACAGTACCTGTTCTCCAAGAAAAAAAAAATCTTAAGGAGAAAGTCAGCCATCTTGCTGAAGAACACAGCTTTGAATGAAGAAAAGGCTAGCATCAGTATCTCCAAGTCACATACCTTCTGGCTCCCTCTCTTCCAGAAGGAAGGCTCTTAAACACTTCTGATGGCCTCTGACACACAGAGAACACACACACACACTCATACTCACAGACAAGCAACTTGTGTTGTGTTGAGAACCTACAGAAATCCTCAGGCTGGTGGACTCCTCAGTACCTTTCTTAGTGGTTGATGTGCTGAGAAGGGAAAGCAGCAATGGCCTATGGCTAAAAGGTAACTAAACGTTTCTCTAGAAACACAAGGCTGTTGGGAGTAGTCACCTGACAAATTAGAGGATATCCTACTTAGATAATAACCTGAGGAACTTTCATCTCAAACCCAACGGAGCAGAGGGATGACCACTCACTTCTCTCCTAGAACAAGATCAGACCCAGGCCAGCGGGAAGCAGGCCAGGACTGAGCCCCAGGCCACAGCCCTGGCCAGCAGACACCAGCACCCACCTGAGATATAGGAATAGGCCGCCAGGATGCTGCTGAGCAAAGCCATCTCCAAGGGCTCCGTGGCCACCGGCTCCATGCTGGGGCTGAGGGGCAGCCTCATGTGGCATCGGGAGAAGAGCTCCTGGCACTTCCGGATCCCTCCTTCTCTTCTCCTGTTTGGGGACATAAAGTGTGCAGTGAGGCAGTCGGCTTTCCTGGGGTTGTGCTTCCAGGAAGGCAGTCTTTCCCAGGCAGGGAGACACAAAGGTCAGGGTCTTGTCCTTTGATCTGGTGAGGTGCCTGATTTTCAAGAGGCAGTAATACTCTGTGTTTCTCCTGACTTTTCTCTTTCCCTGCCCCACTACAGCCCCCCCCCCCCCCCGCAGGCCAGTCCTCATATGCTTCATTGCATCCTTCCTGGTTTATCTTTGAGAAACGGTCCATTAGAGCCACATCATCACCTCAGTGACTGCTCAGCTCCTGTTGTTTTCTGGAAGCCTGCACCTGTGACTCTGCTCACCGGTGTACTTTGATCAGGTGCCTTGTCCCTCAGGTCAAAATATGCCCCCCTTGACGACAGCCAGCGACGCCCATCCCACTGCTGCCGCTATGTGTCCTAAAACGCCCATAACAACTTTGGAGCTAAGTCTGCTCCTGGATCTCAGCTCCATGACCCCATGGCAATGATGTGTCAGCGATTAGAACAAGAATGGGGATCCCATAGTCCAGAAGGGAGAGGGGGCTTTAAAATAAACACAAAGCAGGGTAGCAAGCATGGGGCTGACACGGTAAGGTTGTTCAGATCAACCCTCTGAAAAAGTACCCAATCTTTTTATTACCTTTCCCTCCCTCCCCTCAGAGTGTCAGAATGAAGAGTGGGAGCCGAAAGGGCTCTGACCCACATGGCAGTTCACAACTGTCTGTAATGCCAGTTTCAAGGGATCTGACACCTTCACACTAAATGCACATAAAATAAAATAAATAAATAAATTATTTTTAAAAAGTCATTTAAAAAAAAAGAAAAGAGGCTGGCAGCTGGGGGGCAGGAATAGCTCTCCCCCAGCCTCTGAGGCACAGTAGGGCATGTCCTTCAGTAGCCGTTCGCATTCCTGAAAGGTGAACACTGAAGGACACAGGCCAACAGTGCGAGGCCAGGCCACTGGCCAGCTCCTTACCACCACCTCTGGGCTCAGCAGGTTTAAGAATGCCAGGATCCAGAAGGAGACGTAAGCTGCAGGAATCTTAAATTCAGATCCATCCCCTCCCGCCTCCCTCACCACATCACTCACTCCTGAGTGCTGCAAGTTCCCACGTGCTTTTCTTGATGACTCTGTTTCCTAACTTAAGTGAGCACACACTCACCAGCAGGGTCTCTTTCTTCAGTACAGATGACCACAGGGCCACAGCTTGTGCCCACAGCCAATCTCCACTCACTTTTTAAACATACCCAGGCACTTCTCGGCTGCTAACCTAAGGAAACCAGTGAGCCAGCGCACACACCTACACACACAGATGTACGCTCACTGAATGTGCCAACGATGCCAGCTTGTTTTGATTCCCCCGGGCACCAGGCTCCTTCATCCTTCCGTGCATTTGTCTGTGATCTTCACTTGGCCCTGCTGCTCTTACAGAAGGCCTGCGTTTGTTTCCCAGCACGAATGTTGGGCAACTCACAGCCACCTACTACTCTGGCTTCAGGAAACCCAGCACCTTTGTCTGGCTTCCTTAGATACCCATATTCACATACAAGTAGCACTCCACACACACATATGCATACATAGATTTTTTAATTAAAAAAAAAAACTTTAAAAAATCCACAGTGATCTCAAGTTGGCCCAGGGACCATAGCATGCAGGTGCCTGAACTATATCCTCATTGCCCAGAGTATCACCTGAGTACCAGCTGTATCAGCATCAACTGGCAGCTTGTTAGGTCTGCACAATCTTAGGCCTCACCCTGGACGTAACGAATCCAAATCTCAATTTCTGAGACGCCCAGTCAAATTGAATTATTGTACTGTGTGAACCTTGTCGGCTTCTGTGGCCAGCACTCTGTGAAGCTACACGCCAGCACAGAGAGACAGGACAGGCGTGTTCAGCCACTCCTACATGTAGGTTCACGCCGTGCTCCTCCACGAAGCCCTCTGCATCTTCTTAGCCCTGAGCAGGCTGGTTCTCAGCCCAGGTGCTTTTGCCTCCCGACACACACATCTGACAGCATTTAGCATCATTTCTGGATGTCACAGCTACAGCACAAGGTGACACAGGCTTCAGGTTTGGGGTTAGAGAGGCTACTAAATATACCATAATATACAGGTCAGCCTTCTGCCACAAAGAGCAATCTGGTCCAAAAGTGTTTGCAGGGTTCTAGAGTGAGCAAGCATCAGCACTTCAGAGTCCAGCCTAAGCCATCTTCCAGTTTAGGCATCTTGTGTGCCTCGTCCCAGACAGGAAGGTCTCAGAGAGAAGTTGCCAGAGCCTACCCGAGGGAGCACTGCTCCAAACCCTGGCCCACAGTGCAGTGCTCCCAGTGGCCAGAAGTGATCTCTTTCTATGAATTACAGTAGCAAAGTCCTCAAAAGAAGATACCACAAGACAACAGTGGCTTATTACTCTGTAATCAAAAAGCCCCTGGCTCACAACGGCCCATCCTACAGGGAACTTCCATAGAAGTACTTCCTTCACAGAGTACAAGGCCCATGCCAAGACTGGGATTCAGTCTCCAGACACACTAAGCTAGGTAGGGTTGATGAGGATTATGCTGGGAAAGGAAAAGTTATAAGGGAGTGGGTATTTTCAAAGCCAGAGCTTTCTCTAAGTGATAACTCCTTGCGCTAATTCCACATCCTTCTAGAGAAAAGTCATTTCTAGAGAACACCCTGTCCTCACTCTCCTAGCAACGCATCGCCTACTAATTCTTGTGCAAATGAGAGTGTGCATACAGGAGCACACAGTGGCTGGTAGCTGTGAGCACACCTGAACCCCACAGGAGAATGACAGAAGTCCTGCTAGACCACTCTCCGCCTCACTTCTTGAGTTAGGCAGGCTCTCAGCTAGTGACCTTTCTTTCTCTGGCACCACAGACCTGAGATTATAGGCTTTTTAAGTGTGTGGATTTGAACTCATGCCCTCATACTTGAGTGCTAAGTGCTCTTAGCCACATCTTAACTCTATGACAGCTTTCTTTCATAGATTGCTTCCCAGCTTCTTCACCTAATTAGCAACAAACTGCAAAGTATTGGAAAGAAACAACCTCCTCTTATCACATCCGTCCCAGTGCCTTGGCTTCCTGGCCACATACTGCTCTCCCGATGAAGACAACAGCATACCCTGTCTTGGGAGAACCTAGATTGAGTTCTCCTGAACTCACGGTTACCTGAACACACGGCACACTGTTTTCACTGCCTTCCACTATACAGGTGACCGCATCCCCACAGCCACAAATGTACATTCTCTACAGCCCTGACTCCATCCATGCACACAGTGCAGCCACAGAAACGAAACGCTGGTGATACCGCACTGCACCTCACACCCAGAAACAGTCTGCCTTCCCTGGCAGGTGAGCCCACCTCCACCTCCATGCAGGTAACTCCCACGGGTGGGGCGCGACCTGGAGAGGGGGGCTGCCAGGAACAGAGATGCACCCACTAAGAACAGGTCATCTTTGATGAGGCTGGTTTCAACTAGTCAGAGTTCTAAACCTGCTTGGCCCCAGTAGACTTCTCAGATGCTGAAAGGAAAGACAGAAAGAAAGGACAGAGACATCACATCACGTCTGGGAGATCACCTTGTACCTTAGACCTGGTGCCATTATGAGTCCAACAGAGAGGTCTAGGGGCGGGGGCGGGGGTTGTCTACTTCCTCAAGAGTTGGGTAAAATTCTCTTGAAGGAAAAATCCCACGAGTAAGGGTGTTTGGTTTCTTTAAGATTCCTACATGTTCATTTTATATATACATGGGTGTTTGCCTGCCAGTATGTATGCGCACCTCATGCATAGCTTACAAAGGCCAGAAGAGGGCATTAGATCCCCTAAACTGAAGTTACAGAACTACCGCGTGCATGCTGAGAAACATGCAGAGCAGAGCAGAGCAGGTCCCCCGCAAGAGCCGCCAGTGCTTTTAGCTGCAGAGCTGTCCACCCAGGCCTGTGGACTGGGATTTTATCTGGAATTTGGACTAGCCTGTTAGAGAATCCAGCCTCCTCTGTTCCCGACGGAAAGGAAGCAAGAGACAGCTGATCAGAGACATCCGTTTCCTCTTCTTTTTCTTTAGCCAAAACCCACAACCCTGTGAGTGAGGGACCAGTCTGCCTGGCCCCACATCAATGAAGCATTCAAGCTGCTTCCCTGGAACAGGAAGGAAGGGAATTCAGTTCCCAGATAGCAATGCCCAGATGCACCATGGAATAAAAAAGAAAAAAAAATCTTGCATGGCTCTGTAAATTCTGTGTTTCCACAGCCTGTTCCTGCTGCTCGGGAAGCCTCTCTCTTCAGCCCAGGACAGAGGCATTTTAGTCACCAGCTTCACTCAGGAGTAGATAACAGCTCCCTCGGAGGAGCTCCTGGATTGCCAAGCGTCTCCCTCCACGTGTATGCTGATGTCTAGAGATTTTGTGGCAGGGTTGCTCCTCACGAAGGACGCTTCCACACCCCCTACCTCCATTTCTCTTGACAAGAAAGGAAGTGAGAAAGAAGCAGCAGCTCGGGCTGCAGGGGCCGCTCAGTGGTTAGGAGCACTGGCTGCTTTTGCAGATGAGGCGGGTTTGATTCCCAGCACCCACAGGTGGCTCAGAACTGCCTGTGACTCCCTCTTCTGACCTCTGTGGACACAAGCTACTATACACATGCAGACTTTTGCATATACATAAAATAAAAAAAATGTTAAAGCTATTTTTTAAAAAGAAGAGGAAATTTGAAGTACAAGATTTTGAGTTCTTTCTGTTTGTTTGTCTGTTTTAATTTGGTTTGGTTTGGTTTGGTTTGGTTATAACATATGGTGTTTCTTTTAGCCAACGCTAGCTTCAAACTATGAATCCTCCTTCCTTAGCCTCCTAAAGTCTAGGCTCACAGATATGCAGCTGGCTTACATCTGCAATTCTTTTGTTGTCCCATTGTTTTGTTATCTTAATTTTTACAAGGTTTTCATACCTATATATTTAGCACCTCTCACCCCAA